CTGGGAAGATCAGATTCATTACATAGGTGTGGTATACTATAATGGTGTAGTATATGTCTTAACAACTTCAAATCAAAGTATTTGGATTATTAAATTCACCTACAAAACAAGTAGTATATACATTATATAGAAGATGTAATTTCTCATTAATTTGTTCCTTAAATTCATTTGCTAAATCCCCCTTTTTTTTTCCATTGAGAAAATTTGAGCACTTCTGTTCATTATTATTGAATGGCTTGAATGTATTTCTTGCTTCTGCTTCCAAGACTTCTTTTAATGAAAATAATATTCATTAGAAAGTATTGAATTCAGAAGCTAGTCTGTAGAAAAAAACTTAAATATCACTAGCATGTACTTGCAGTCTTGCACTACTCCGGATAGTTTTCTCAATTGTCTACTTTGGACAATTAATTTTTATATTAGTCATATGTTGAGCTTTAGATGATTTTATTTTCTTGACTTCAATGTGATCACATGTATTTTTATGACATTGTGTTCCAATGTTCTCGGAGATTATGGTGTAAACTGTAATGGGTTCTATTTGTGTGTTGATTATGGTAGTGTAATGGGTTCTATTTATGTATTTATTATGGCATAACTTTCATATGTAAGACACGTCATTTACATCTATTTCTTTTATTAGAGTATTGATTTGGAGTTAAAATCGGTGAGGCGATGCATAAACGACAGTCCTACAACTGTTTCAGGAGAATATGTAATCCTAGATTTCAACTATGAAAACGAGTGTACTCGTCATATGATAGCACAAGTAGAGATTTTTGACACACATACCATAAAAGATGCAGCAAATTTACCCATTCTACAAGAGTACATAAATGGCAATTTGCCAATAAGTGGTCGTCCATGGATAAAATACAAGTTTATTTGTTGTTGTTGTTATTAGTCTTATTATTTTTATGGATAACAATGTGTTTTCTCATTGCTTTCTGTATTTTGCAGACTGCAAATGCCAACCTTGCTAGGTCTCTTGTTGCTGGACAGAAAAATCTTGAAGTACAGGTACCTAAAAACTTCTTTACTTCGTTTTTGTGTTGCATTTTTCTTTGTTCTCTCTTTCTCTCTCTTCCCCACCCTTTTGGGTTTCTTGTCTTTCTTTTTACTTTTCCAGTGATTGTTAAAAATCTTCCAAACTTGATTAAAAATCTTATAGTTTTCACCCTTGTTTACCAAGGTTACAATGAGACTAAAAACTTCGACAATGCAGAACTTTTAAATCAGTTATCCACGTTAATTTTTGGGAATAATCTTTTGAGGCTTGACAGCTTAACCTGCAATTTATTAAAGTTGCTAGAAGTGACACAACATTCATCCTCTTAAAATTTAATGCTACAACCTGAACTCTAAAATGTTTATTATGTGTCCTTGACATTTGATTTTCTTCTTTCCATGGTTATAGATTTGGGAACGAAGTAATGACCCTTCCAAT